CCCCGCCGTTTCCCCGACCATCAACGTCACCACAGTCTATTTCCCCGACGGGCCGACGCAACTCCGCCTGGTATCAGCTCCATTTTTAATTTGTTTCTTCTCCCTTGCGAATAAAGCTACCTTGAATAGTGAGCCTGTTTAGTAGCGTCGCCGTTTGGTCCGTTTCTTTCGTACAAATGGTGCCAGCGAGACATATGCGTTGCCGTTTCTTCAGAGTTCAGACGAATTTGCTGTTTGGTTGAGGCGTTTTACGAAAAAACTCTGATGCATCGAAAATCAGGAAAGTGGTCGATATCGGAAACGTTAAATGTGACGTTTCCTGTATCGCCCCACCATTGCTTCCAACCATTTTCCGTCGCCGTCGCCCGGTAAGTTTCTTGTTTTTTCCCTCATTTCGTTTCTTCATGTATAATCACATATTTGATCAAAACCTTCGAGGCTTCGAACCTGGCAGGTATCACTGGATCTTTAAGACTTTCAGCGCCGCTCATACTCAGGTGACGGTTCCGTCGCCTGCAGGTATAACCGGCATTATTTTTTACCTTATTTGAATTTACGGAAGATCCCTAATAAGGCTGTGTTTGGTTGCAGTACAAATGCATGGGAGTGCAAATGTAAAAAATGTAAATTCTTGTTTAATTTTGTCTTAGATTTTACTTTTTACTATTTCATATCTTAATTTACTTCATTTTTATTGCAATCCAACACATCCTAAACTTTTCATTATTTTTTAGTCAAATCTAAGAGCCAATTGCAGGGATCTCCTGTGCTTCAGCCGCCACTCGTTGTTTGTTCACGGTTATTTATTTATTTTTTTTACAGTATTCATTCTCTGCTTCTTCCTGTGTTTTTGGCCTGTCTGAAACCCAAAATGCATGTACCACTTTATGAACCCTTGAAATTGTTATCTGCTCCAACCAGCTCTTGAAATTTAGCAGCTTAATTTCAAACATATTGCAAATTGTTACATACTAGTCAGGACCCGTGCGACACACAGGCTTTATTTGACATTTCCAATTAAATGGTGTCCATTTAAGTTCAATTCAATTATTATTTTTTGGGGTTATGTCTAGTTTATCCAATTACAATCTAAGTTGCACTTTAGTGAGAGTGGCCAATTTCCTATTCTCTGGATAAATATGTATTAGTTTTTGTATCTTAATGCTAGTTTTTATTAATCTTTTGGAAAAGATTTTTGATTAATTTTTATTGGTTTATTATTATTTTGTATTATTTTTAGGTAAAATTATAAAAAAAAAATCCTCTTATAACAATTCTATAAACCACCTTTATGTTTTGACCCTAACAAAGGCCTCCTCTATGGTTTTGAGAAAAAAGTGCAAATATCTAATTTCCCTTGGCTCTTCGGTAATAAAGACATTAAAGTTATGAAAATACCCTTATCATTGTTAATGCATTATCATAGATAATTTAAAGTTTCAACTTACCCTCCACTAATCTATTTTTCTAGACAACTTTCAAAGAATAATTCTCTTTACTCTTCTTGGACAAATGTAAAACGGATAAGGTGAAGTAAAATTAATGCATTAAATCAATATTTTTTTATTTGGAATGCTGACTAAAGGAAGGTATTTGCACCTTTTTTCAAAACAATGGGGGAGGTTTTTATTAAGGTCAAAACATTGGGGAGTTTCATAGGATTGTTAAAAAACCCAAGAAGGTTTTATAGGTTTCCTTATTTTTAAATGAAATTTAAATTAATTTTAAAATAATTAAACTATGTTTAAAACTAATACTTTTTATTAATTTTTGAAATTAGTAAAAATATGAATTTATTTAAGTAGATTAAGTTTTATTAGATTTAAATTCCTTATGAAATTTAATATTTTAATTAACTATATAAATTTTTTATTTTTTAGTGGAACTTAAGTTGGTTTGAAATTAATAAAATTTAATTATAAAACTAATAATTGTTAGATAAATTTTGAATTAGTTGTATATTAATTTTAAATTATTCGTTTTTAATTTATCTTATTCCTTTTATTAATTAAATTATTTTTGTTATATTAATAAATATATTTATATCAATAACAATAATTAATAATTATTTTTAGTTTATTTAAGTAACTTACTAAATTACTTGTATTATGGTTAATTGATTTTATTATTTTAAAATGGAATATAAATTGATTTTAATTTTAAACGGAAGTAGATTATTTAGCTCAATAATATATCCTTCAATATCTCAATTTCAAAATAATTAATCTTTACTGATAATTACAGTTAAATGTATATATATATATAATAGATAGATATTGAAGGAGATAGTTAATGGCATAATTAATGAGGAGAGATTATTAAAAGAGTTAATGGAAATAGGGGAGAGAGAGAGAGAGAGAGCTAATGGTGTTTTAATGAGGAGTGTTTAAACTCTTAAAGGTGATTGGTCACTTGAGTTATTTTGTTTAATTTTAAAATTAGAAAATTCAAAAAAAAAAACAGAAAGAAAGATAGGTGTCTTTGAAAAAAAACAAAAAAGAGATAAGTGCCTTTGAGAATAAACCATAGAACAGGAAAGTGCCAGCTTGGCACATTGCGTTTTAATATAGAGATATAGATTCAGCAACTTCTTAAAAAAAACTGTCATCCTATCACTATATCTGTTTGTAGGAAAAATAGACTGATGTCAATTAATGGTCATTAAGGAAGAACATTTGCCATCTGAGATCTGACATGGCAGACATTCTTACCTTTTTCGATACCAGTACTAATTTAAGAAGAGATAAAAAGAGCACAACAGATATAATGAGAATGGAGAAAACAACCTCAGATGAGGCAAGACAAGACTAAAGGAGCATTAGACTAGGACAAACAGAATCTCCTTGCAACATAAACTTTTTTTGATTGGTAGCTTGTAATGTTTTATTAAGTTGTGAAAAAAGAATAGTAAAGTACAAAGAAGAGATTGTTCCAAGCATCTAAAATTTAGGCTAGACCATCTACTTGCCCCAGTATCCAAATAGCCAGGCTTCTCACTTCCACCATTGAATTTTTGCACTTACATCATTTAATTTCCTATAGCCAGGCTTCCCTGTAACTCAGTTGTTACCCCAATATTAATCCTTGGAGTACTGCTGGTAATTCAGCTTTGATTGAGTCACCTTGGCTGATAGGTCCTGAGTATAAATAGCCAAAAATTTCGCATTGATGGTTCCTAAACATACCACCAATACCTAAGCTGCAGGAATTTCTCATGATTCACCTATCAAAATTTT